TATATATATAGGCAGTAAGAAAGTTAATGTGATATTATATTTTTAATTTTTGTTCCTTTCGTTGAAACCACGCTTTTGAAAGACGCTTTCAATGAAACGCAATATCAAACACACATATAATGTATTTAATTAGACAATTAAATTCAGGCTGAGATTAACAATAAAAGTATAATTAAATATGCTTAACAATAATATAAATTAAGCATTAAAATGAATTTCTTACCGAGTAAACCAACTGAAATTGAGAACAATTTAATCATATTAATAGCGCAGTTAATTAAATCATATTAAGAATGTTATAAAGTTATGTAATAAAAAAGATAATATTACAGTTATATGCAAAGACTATTAATATAGTCTATTGTTTGAAAGTCAAACACTGTTGTAAAACAAGGCAATATTTCACAAAAATTAAAGTAATCTAAAGATTTAATATTGTGCATCAACTTAACTATACGCATTTAACAAAACAAAATTATTATTTTTGATTTTATTGATATTAAAATTAATATACTGTACAAGATGTGTAATCAATTATCACAAAACCTTTTTTTTTTCCTTTTTTACGAAAAGGCTTCTAGTAAAAATTTTGTCAAAGTGACGAAATAACTATCGTCACTTCTTCAGGGGAAAGAATTTCGTCGTGAGTAAAGAAATAATTCGTCATTCTATTTTTTTCCAAAAAAAAAAGAAAAAAATTTTATGTCTCATGCTATCCAGTGCTATCTATTTTTCGTGTGAAATATGTGGATAGATCAACGACACCCCAACAACGCAAGGAAGACAGCCAGAACAGAATGATAAATTTCATCCATACCCAAAGAAGGACTCAAACCCGGTATCCTTCTGATATTAAAACAACTTCTTGACCACCGTACAGTTCAGCCGGTATATTTCGTCATTCCAGTTTTGATCATCCAGTCTTCTTTTTAGTTAACTGTTTCAAATAAAGCACTGCAACATTTTCGTTAACTATTTCAGAGCTCACGTTTTGTCACAAATCCACGATTTCGAGGCAAAATGATTGAACAAATTTACGAAATACAGCTTAAGGACTTGTTAATCATCAGAAATGAGAGATTTATTTCTGAGGGTGTATTAAGACGTTTCAAGCCTTTCATTTAAGAATCAGTTTAAACACAAATATATTGTCAAAACATTTAAAGATGCTAGCGCAATATTTAAAATTCTAATATCATCAGTATTGCTTCCTAAAGACCAGATTTCTAACTTACTTAAAGAAGAAAAAAAATCCCCATATTGCCACGTTCTTTAAAAATATCTTTTATATCTCATATTTTGGCTTGAATATATTTCGATAAGATAATGTATGCAAGTTTTATCAGAACAAAGTAATAAGTAAAATTAATTAGTAGCAAAAAATAATATCATGAATTTAAATACTTACGATGTTTTTTTCTTCCTTTAAAAAAATCACATAATTACATATTAAGTGCCAAGGAGGTTTTATTAGGAATTGGAGAAACTTAAGAGTATGTAAAAAATGTATGAGACCACATTAAGATTTTTAATAATTACTTTAAATTTTTAATAATTACTTATTTATTTTCCTACTCCGCGCATTCTCGAAATATTTCAATTTCTTCTAGAATGTACAGGTGTAATATTTTACAAAAAACAAAAATAAAATCTGTTAGAACTATAACATCAATAATTTAAAATAATAATAGAGACTATAATTTTCGAAATATTATATTTTTATTCAAAAAAGTCATGATGGCATCAATATAAGATTTGTAATAATTGCTTTAAATATCCGAATATTTCTACACTCGACACATTAATGAAACAATTCAATTTTTCTTTAAACCCATGATTCATTTCATTTTATTTTTATTTAAACAATTATTTTATAGTTTTTTAGAATTGATAATTTTTAATCTTAAGACTGTAGTTTTTGTGTATTATAATATTTTCATACAAATTAGTCATTTGGTTTCCATTATCCTAAAAAATTTTAAATCGATCGCAAATTCGGTCGATACATTTTTGCAGTCATCGTGCCAGTTTTTGTATACCCATGTCATAGCATCCGACTGCCATGTTCTTCCCTCTTTCATTTCGTCTCCACTTAAATCGTCACTCTCCTACAGTAGTTTAGATGGAACATCGTCCCACATGCCCTCTAAAGTGTGGGATATAAATAAGTGAATAAAGCAACTGATCACTAAGTTGAAAGAATATTTTACTTGAAAGCTATTGAGATTCACTTTTAGAAATTTCTCTCAAAAAATTGAGAAAAAAAATTTATTTAATTTTTATTCTACCATATTCAAACAAAACAGTCAGATAAACATAAATTAGATGGTATTCTATTTGATTTGTTAACTCTAAGAAATAACCGTTTATTAACTTCTTTCACATAATAAGGTTAAACTTCCAGACTTTTATCTCCCTTGTTAGGCTCCCCTATGGATGGAAAACGTTTTTCGGCGTTTTTCGGAGAGGGAGACCAGCTACAAGATAATTGGACAGTGTTGAGAAGGACTTAAAATTGTTAGAAATAAACAGGTGAAAAAATATAGCTCAAAGTCGGCAGCTAATTTAAAAAGCCCTGGCCTGCACTAGGCTGTAGTGCTGAAGAAGAATTAGGCACACCTAAGGAAGAAACTCAGTTCCCTGCAGCTGAGAACATATTACAGTCCAGAGGGCTAATCTTTCTATCTCCTGACTGATAGTACGGAGGTTTTACTCAAAGTGTTGAGCCCACTGTATTTAATCCTCTCCCTCAACAAATGAAGAGTTTTCAGCTAACTGTACTCCCCAATTTGCGATCCCGAACAATTAGAATACGATACTCTTATTCACACACAGATGGAAGCATCATAAAGCTGTTTAATGTCTAGTATTTCACATCTCTAACGAATAACGAAACAACCAGATAAACGAACTAAACCAGTAATTTGATAAAACACAATTCAACGCGGTAATTTGATGAGGCACAATTCAAAACCTTAACTGTAAAAAATATTCTTTACCATAAATTTTACAGTTAACTGGAGGGACAGACTGGTGCTGGTTACCGTAATTTTAGAAGGAGTATTCTAACAGTGTAAGACGAAAAAATCAAAGATACGTTCAATGTAAAACATGGTGTTAAGATGCTATGACAGGTTTATATAAAGCTTCTCAATTTGGTCACAAAAAAGGCCAATGACTGTAATTATGAAGGATCATCTAGTGTTCTAGTGCACACATCCAATGTTCATCTTTTAAAATGATATAATGTTCTAGAACAGTGTTTCCCAACCTTTTTTGTACCATGCCCCACCTAAGCCTTTCTGAAATTGTTATGCCCCCCTATGTAACATATACATAATTTTTAATAATAAAAAAATCGAATTGTTCACTTAAGAAACGTAGGAAATTGTTAGCGAAACAAAGTAAGAAAATTTTCTGAACATATAATGAAGAACTAAAATTCAAATTCGAAATAATTTTAACAAATATTTTTCTATAATAATTTAATATTTTAATTAAGTGAGATTCTTGCCCTTAATGCTTGCTGCACGTAGATTTTATCTTAGGTTCCAATTTGGTTAGCCTCAGTCTCAAGTCTCCCCGTTGTGTTATATCTAGACGATTTTTTTTTNAAAATTGAAGGAACTAGAAGAGGGAGACCAGCTACAAGATGATTGGACAGTGTTGAGAAGGACTTAAAATTGTTGGAAATAAACAGGTGAAAGCCCTGGCCTGCACTAGGCTGTAGTGCTGAAGAAGAATTAGGCACACCTAAGGAAGAAACTCAGTTCCTTGCAGCTGAGAACATATTACAGTCCAGAGGCTCAAGGACAAGGAGCTCGGAGGTTTTACTCAAAGTGTTGAGCCCACTGTATTTAATCCTCTCCCTCAACAAATGAAGAGTTTTCAGCTAACTGTACTCCCCAATTTGCGATCCCGAACAATTAGAATACGATACTCTTATTCACACACAGATGGAAGCATCATAAAGCTGTTTAATGTCTAGTATTTCACATCTCTAACGAATAACGAAACAACCAGATAAACGAACTAAACCAGTAATTTGATAAAACACAATTCAACGCGGTAATTTGATGAGGCACAATTCAAAACCTTAACTGTAAAAAATATTCTTTACCATAAATTTTACAGTTAACTGGAGGGACAGACTGGTGCTGGTTACCGTAATTTTAGAAGGAGTATTCTAACAGTGTAAGACGAAAAAATCAAAGATACGTTCAATGTAAAACATGGTGTTAAGATGCTATGACAGGTTTATATAAAGCTTCTCAATTTGGTCACAAAAAAGGCCAATGACTGTAATTATGAAGGATCATCTAGTGTTCTAGTGCACACATCCAATGTTCATCTTTTAAAATGATATAATGTTCTAGAAAGTAAAACATTTTTATTTCTGCTTCTAAAAGAATTGGTGACCCAATATTTCGAATTTTAATTATTTGAAGCATTTTTTTAAAGAATTGGTAATTATAATTTGATCATTAAATTGGTTAAAAATACATAAGAAATAGTGAAATAGTCGTAAACTCGTAAAAGTAATAAGATTGAGTTGAGAAAATTTTTTGAGACTGCTATTCTGCCTTTAAAAGTTGTAATTAGCCTCAAACTAGGCCGAATACAACGGGAAAAAAAATTATAGTGGAAGGAAATGATTTCATTCATAATCTATGTCGTGAGCAAAGATCAATATCTAGACATTCTGATAGTATTTGTTTTCAAAGAGTATACTTTTTTTAATAAACCGAGTCGTTATGCGTACCTTCTTACCATTATATACTTCTCTTATCAATTTTAGATAAATTTTAAATTTTCAAATTTGCACATTTAGAATCCTTTATATTTACATTTTTCTAAATAATTCAGGTCTTCTTTTATTTTTTAAAAAAAAAAAACAATTTTCCGGACTTATATTTTCCTTTCGCTTTATGTTCTAAAATTTAAGTACTAGATGCAAAATACAATTATACTTTCTATTTTTGTACTTTGAATTCAATACTTGTTCTAAAAAAATAATAATTTTTCTTTTGATAGTACAAAACAATTTACTTACCCCCAAGAGCATTAGCAACTAAATGTGATTATATTAAAATAAATATTAATGACTAAACTTAATTGTTTCAAATTACTTATAGAGCAAAAACTAATAAGTTTCTAAAACGAATGAATCAAACTTTTAAATTTTAACATTCTCATTATCATATTTGAAAGAATAAAAAAACTTATGTAATTAGCTGGGTTATTTACCATTTTCGTTTTATTTAATCCAAGCTAATAAATTAAAATTAAACTTGAGATAAAGTTTTAATATTAGTAAAAAAAAAAGTGTATAGTGCCGTTTTGAAATTTAAACAATTTTGTTACAAATCGATGAATATCGAAAAATCCAAATCGAGGCAAGCCATTCAGTTGATCGATATAAATAGTTGATATTAAGTAAACTCGCATTAGCCTATTAACAATTTTCATACATGATACAGTTTATTTTTATTGTACAAAATTATAGTCTATTACTTATTATGCATTACAATGCGAATATTTTTACAATCTGCAAAAGACACATTTACAAAATATATCCTCTATACTATCTCATACGGAAGTCAGTATAATAGTTCTTGCATTTATTTCATTATTCTTGTGTTATTCTAAATGTTGTTCAGATTAAATATTCACTTTAGGGTAAACATTTTTAATTCATCCGTAGAAAAAAAATAACTTAAACTGCGAATCAAAACCCATTCACGAAGATTTCTCCGAATTACGTGTGATGCTGATTGGTCAGAAAAAAACAAATTTTGTGTCAAGAATTCCTCAAGTAAGCATACATTACCCAACAAAAAACATATTTGAATTTATTAATGTGATAAAAATTTCCAATAATAATAATACTAATAATAATAATGATAATAATAATAAAAATCAAGCACAAAAAAATAAAAAAAATTTAAAAATGTTAGTATTATGACTAAAATGGGACTTCTGTGTTAATGCTTAAATATGGGGCACACATAGTTGTTATTTCATTTAAATTAACAGTTAAATATAATGAACCGCTCTTCAAAATTGTTTATGAAGTAAATATTACCAAAGTCTGTATTGCTTTAATGCAAAAATTTATCATAATGAGAATACATAATACTATAAAACATAAAACAAAACTTACCATCAGATGTTGCAGCTGAAAATTAGAAAGAATATATGGATTTTGTAAACTGGTTTGCATGTTAAAAAGGTTAAAAGAAAAAAAATAATGAAAAATATATATATTTGATGTTAATAAACCTTTGCTTTTTGTCCTACTAAAAATGCATGTAGCTTCATATCAATCTCAATTTATTTTTTTTAAATGGATTTAGTTATTCACGAATTAAACTTTAATTATTTTACATAAAATTTCCTTATGAGCTTCACTTCAAAAACAACTTCAAATCTTCTTGCTTAATTATTTCACACGGTATCGATGCAAAAGAAGAAGAACAATTACTTGCCTCATTTTGTTTTTGAAATAAAATATGAGTCACTAAAAATTAAATTTAAAAATACTTGTTCAATATTTTCTGATTAAATTTTCTTTTATTTCGAAATTATCGCATTTTGGAACAAGAAATATAATTTTTTGAAATGTTACATTTGTTTTAAAAGTCATACTTATTTTATAAACTCATGAAGCAAAAATTGAAAACTGAATTCTTAAAAATAGGAATTTGCTTAATTATGAATTCATTTAATTTTTAGACCAATTAATCTTCGAATTTTTTTCATATAAATAAACCTTATGCTTTTTTCTCTTTTAATTGTACAATTTCTGAATGATTTGATGCTCTTGAATTGAAAATACTGTAAATAAGCATAATTTAAAAATTCCAAGAAATAAAGACTCATTATTTAAAACTTTTAAGAATTAAAAAAAAAATTCTCAATCACTCTTTCGAAATTTCAGTAATGATTATAAAATATGAATTAAGGTAAACTGACTCCATAAGTGAAATCACTGGATTATAAAAGTAGCCATTTTTTGAAATCTAACTTGCAAAAACGGAAACTTTATAATATAATTACAATTGAATTTTATAAGTTTATAATCCCTGTTTTCAAAAATCATCTTGTCTGAGTAATCATTTTTCGAAATCATAATTTTCTTTCCTGAACAGTTGGAATATTTATTTTCCAAAATTTTATAAGCAATGACAAGTTTTATTCTCCCTATTACGAACAAAAGTGAGGATTTTCGTGAGGTGTAATTTAATCCAAATGAAAACGATTTACGAATTAAGAAAAATTATGGAATAATTCTCCACATTCAATGCCAATTTATCAATGATCATCTCTTATTTAATAAGGTAAATCTGTTCTTAATAGAAAAGAAAATTGCTTGATAATTTCATAGGGACTTAATTGCAAAGAAAAGAATATTGAAAATAGCAAAAAACTTTAAAAACTTTTAAACCATGTTGAATTATTTTTGAGATCTGCTAATCAGAAATTTTTTTAAAAACATTTCCGTTATTAATAAGATTGTGACTAAAATTTGATTAATATATCAAATGTATACTCAGTACATTTGAAATATGCATGCAGGATTCTATTTAGCTTTAAGTGTGATTGTAATATTTAACCTTGATTTTTATCTCACGTGTACATGTTCAGGCAAGTAAAATCAACAATTTTTTTAAACTAAATTCTCCTCATTTTTTTACATGTACATAATGTCATAAATTTTATAAAATCAAATTTTCTCAGAACAGACGTGTTCTGAGATGCACGGCGAGCATCTCAGAACATATCCATAGATTAAATAAAAATCATATATTACTCACCGTCAACTCCTTTGTCAACTGTAAATAAAGAAAGGGAATATTTGCTTTTATTTTATTCAGCTAGAGTACAAAGTAACAATAAATAATGATCTAAATAGTCTTAAAGCTTTGTCTAATAATTCAGAGGAATTAAGCTGCTTCCGAAACATTATTTCGAAAAAAAAATCAGAACTCACAAAAAAAAATTTTTTCAAAAATTGTGAAAACATAATTATTAGTATAATATGGATTTTTTATTGAATTTTACACAAATAGTAAACATTTCTCCTATGAACTAATGCAGATTTACCTGTGTTTTATTTTTGAAAAATAAACCTTTTCCAAATTTTGATTATATTTATTAAACACCTACAATATGTGTTACTTAGAAAATAATACATATTTGAATACCTATACCTATTTGAATTATTGAAATCAGTTGTGTTTGGAGCATCAGAACATTGCCCAAGTTAAGTAATATATTTACAGTTAATAAGTTTTGTTCCTTGCAATCATTGTAAAATATCTCAACTTTGTTATACATTTTGGCAAGAGAGTCATCTGTAAATAAAAATCTAGGAATTTATTCCTTATGAAAGCAAATAAGCTATTCTTGAAAATAAAATTTATTTGAGGGGGATGGACGCAATGACTTTAATCGTATATTTAACTTTCCCTTAATAAAGTGAAATTTATAAATTTATATTTCTCCATCGAATTCAAACTGTAGCAGATTGCTACTTGCTGTCTTACTCGCTAACACTCAAACCCACTATCACAACAATAAAACACATTCAAAAAATTGTAATTCCCTAAATAACTCACTTACTATCTCTTTAACTATATGGTTTTCTTACTTAATAGATGAGGAAGCAACCAGCTAACCCTCAAACTAACCAACTCATTCCTTTATTTGTTTTTTAAATCGTATGTTATTCAGGAATGCAAAAACACAAGTTTACTTTTTTACTTGGCAATTAAATGATGCTTTAGCTAATGAACATACTCTCAAACTATTTAGTTCATTCACCGTTTAAACCATCCCAGACTCAATTATAATTATTGTGCTTCTGAAAGTGGCGTAAATGAAATTGGTTATATTACAGGTCATAAAATAAAGATACTATTTGGTAAAACAAATTAAATATTTCGTACAAAAAAATAGTATCATTCGGTCAATATTAATGAAATACTTACAAGTTTTCTCAAAATCAGTTCGTTCAGATTATTTTTTATTGAATTATTTATTTTCGATGATTCTTTCATACTTGAAAAAAATATTTTAACCCCGTAAAAATTATTCCCATCTTTTGAAGTTAATTTTTTTAATTAAATATTTCACTTACATATATTTTTGAGATTGCGTGAGAATACCTGATAGTTATTACCTTTTTCAATTGTTATGAAGTATTAAAAACAAACTTACGGCCACCTACAGCTCCTGTTATACATAAAACAAATGAAACTGAGGGTTAAATTTTTTTTACACAAAATATTTTTCAATATTTTTAAACTGCACAGAATGATTTAATAGATTATAATATAGTGAAAAAGGGGCATTTTAGATAGAAACAAATAAAGATTATATAGTCAATGCCTTGAAACAAATGAGAAAGTTGAACGCTAAAAATTCAAAAAATAAACTAATAGTTGTTTTCTTCTCTACGCGTGTAGATTTTGCAATTTTAATTTATACTATGTTAAGTTTATCAAGATTTTTAAATATTTTAAAAGTTTCGTTAAAAAAATATTTTATTTGATTTAAAGTACACTACAAAGAAACCTTCGGTTACAAGTATTATACTCATAAACAAAAATTAATTAATCTATAAATACATATAAAATAATTTATGTGAAATGTATTTCGTTAAATCGCATTATTGCATTTTCTTAGTCAAAAAAAAATTCACTAAGATCTGACTTTTAGTGTTACTGAATTTCCGTTACAGTTAATTGAATTAATAATATTTTATAAAATTTTATGAGCCCTTGTTATATTCTATAATTTCCAAATCGACTCGCAAGGCAGATAACGCACAATTTGAAAAAACATTTACGTGACATTTTATCTGGAGTTTGTAAATATACTCTCCTTGCCATAAATATTAGTCCAAACGCATTTTTTCCTAAAGTAAGTGATAATTTTTCTACTTTCTTATATTAAAGTTGGGCTTGTGTATGTAAAATTTCGCTTCCTTTTGACAGCTCTTACTAGATGCCTTAATTTTTATGGCGAAAAGTGTATACATATTTTTGTCGGTTATTCTATTACTATGTCATCTCAGTGTTATATCTTAAGTGCACATACAGGCAAGGAATTCTTTTAAGTGTTATACAGGCAAGGAATTCTTATTTGAAGGCAATTTTTAATTTTATGACTTTTGATAGGTTGTAAGGCATGATTTCATTGATTACCAAGCAGCAAATTACTTTTGCATTTGATTGAAAAATTAATTGCTACTTCCAATGATCTGGATTCTTTTCTTTTTTTATCACTTTTCTGTCTTTTTTTCATATTTTAATTCATGCATTTTAAATACAATGTAATCACGAGACTCGAATTTCAAACTAGAGTTAGTTTTGATTAACGACGAACCCATTATAAATCCGCATTGCTTTCCTATCCTTTTTTTCGGTGATCTTCACATGATTTTTCAAACTTTAGCATAATGATATTGTGACACCCAACTATTAAGTCGTTATTCTGTGTCGCTTTCTGATCATTTTCTCGGCAGAAATTTTACCTGATTTTTGTTTATACGATATTTTTTACATTGTCATCCGAATTTCATTATTTCTAAATTAAAGTTAATTCAACACCCGATTTCGAAGCTGAATATATATGAATGCTTTAACTTTAATCGACATCATTTTGCGAGCATATATTCGGCAGTTATTTTAGGTTTCATGGGTTTTTTTTCATCTGGTTTTTAAAATAACACGACATTTTTAATACTTTATTACAAGACATGAGCTTCAAATTTGAACAATCACAATTTGATGCGCTGAATTCATGACTATGTCATCACAAATAAAAGTCCTTTTCTAGTCATTTTTTTGGGTTTTGTTACTGTTAATTGTCTTACTAATGGTTTAGCAATTTGCACATCCTAATTAAAATCTCAATATTTTAAATCCGATAATGTTATTTCCGGTTTTTTTGGAATCACACAATTGAGTATTTAAAATTTTATGAATGGATAGATATTTAATATTTACCATTCAGCGATCGTTTTATTGTAATAAATCACACATTAATAATTCTGTTGAATTTTATGAATCACATAATGTAAAATGCTCGTATTTTCACTGATTTAGCTAGCTAAATTTTTTACTTTGGTTATTTACATACTTTACTACTGATTTTGAAAAATTAAATCATGCCTTTTAAACACATTGCACTCGGTTATTGGAAACTGATCTGACTTTGAATAAATGTAGAATTTAAACGGGGTATGAAAATATCACAGCCTTATTTTTGATTTAAATTAATTATTTGTTACCAATTTTTACTGGTACTTTTACTCATAAAAAAGCCGTATGTTTCAATTGCAGAAAATTACAAATTAATTCATAAACTCTTAAGACAATATAAATGAAATGTTCTAATATTTTTTGAAAATTACATTTCCTTAAAAAACTATTAATAAAAAAACCATGCTTCTATATATTTTTTACTATGATATTATACAGGAATATGATATGAGTATTTCAAAAGTGTTTCATGATTGTGGTTATACTTTAAAAAAAGGGAATTAATTGTCTCGTTTCACTACATAGAATGACCAAACATAAAATTATGTTTTTTTATTCAAAATATAATAATAACACAAATAAGTTTACCAGTAATTCCTTGGGCTGAAAATATCATGTGAAATATTTATTAATGTAAATTACTTTTTTGCTTTTGACTTTTAAAATTATTTATACTAAAAAACTATTTTCCAACTAAGCTAAATCTGTATATTAGTTAATTAAAAAGTAAATTTTCTCTTTTTTATCACCGTAACATATCAATGATTTATTTTGTTATTTTCTGAATTAAATGTATCCAAGACATACGTTTAAACATTTCCCTCATTTTTCTATTAAAAGATGCGCGGATTACTATTAAATATTGGAATTAATATTAAGAAATAATTTAAGTAGACTTCGCAAAATAATATTTTATTCATTTGAATTAGTCTGAAGCATTGGCATGTATAAAACAAACATTTTCGGTTAAGAAAAATAATGTTAAGAAAAAATAGCTTATATTTTGCAAGGACATATGTTTTGTACTTAGATAACATATATTTAATATTCAAAATCCATAATTAAATAGTTTAAATATATTGTAATTTTAAACTTCCTGAAAGAATTGCAGATTTTTCACTTTTTATAAATACAGAAAGCTTTTTACTTACACTTGCAACTATCCCCTAAATTAAAAAAATGAAGCACTAAGAAATTAACAGAACAGTGCAGTACAGAAACAATGAGAAATTAATCAATTCGTATTTCAACTGCTATTTCCTGCGATATATTTTATTGAAAAAATATATCTCTTCAATCAAATTTTTCATTTAAAATTATTTTTATATCGGTTTTGAGAGTAACACAGATGATTTATTTTAATTTAAGAAATCTCGTTATTTTTACTAGAAAAACTTTCCTAATTGTATTTATAAAAAGCACACATTAATTAATGTTAAAATTTTCGGTCCCTTAGCGTGGCCTGTAATTGTCAATATTGTCTTTCTCATCCTTGTGAAGCTGTAACAGCTGAAGTAGTTCGTTTCCTTCCCCCTAAATTTCGGTGGTGAATGTGGCAGGAATATAGCTGCCATATAAAAGTGTTCTGAAGGATATCTTTGGATCATCTCTACTTACCTTGAGTATCTTTATTGGTAACTTGCATGTTTTTGTGTAAATACCTGAAAAATGTTTATAGAGTGATGCAATACAACCCTCAGGCGCGATAACTACGGGTGCATGCTAGTTTGGACAGGAACCATTCGTCTCCAGACGAGCAGACGGGAACCGTTCCGTGGGAAACGTTTCTCCCCAGCACAGCACAGCTTCACTGTTTATAGTAACTCTCAGGAAGAATAAATTTTCCACGTTATTGATTTGTTAAACCTTTGTAATCACAAAATTCAAAGGAGGGTAATCCAATCATCATTTTTGGGAAAAATAGTCAGGGACAATAATAGGTGCTTAATATGTGATACGTTCACAGCTTACATTCTTAAAATGTGTTAATACTATGACACAATCTGATACTTTTTCTAGATTTAACAAATTTTTCAACCTTTTTCTTCAAAAAAACTGTGGAGCTTTCGGAATTTGAAAATTTGGCCTATCCCTAGTGAATTACGCCGGCCGCATGAAAATTTGATAATATAATAGTAATAAATATCGTATTAATTGTTATGTTCCAATTTTCATTTTAAAGAGAGTGTCTCATATTGATAAAATTTTTTCTTACATTTTTAGTTTAATATCATTTATTGAAATACGTTTGAAATACTTAAATACGATTTATTGAATACGAAAAGCTCTCAAAGTTAGTATTTAAAGTTTGGTAATAATTTTAAGAACTATTGTAGGCGTTAAAATATGTTCAAGCATGATATAAGAATAATTACAAATTTTAACTGGGATCAATAGAACATATTACATTAAATATATGGAAAAATGTTCCAGTACACTAAATTGCTACTTAAAAAAACAATTAATTGTATCAAGCTTATTTCACTATTCCAAATTTATTGAGTACATGGACTTAAATCAATAAAACCATAAAGTTTTCAACAATTTATTTATCAATCATTTACTTACGACCATCCTTTCCTCCTGTATGAAAAAGGAAAAGCATATTTTAAAATGAGTTCAAATTCCTAATTTTCCTTTAAACTAAAAATATGTATAAATTTTTTTAAAATTGAAAAAAGTGAAATTTTTTGAGCTTGAATGTGCGTTGGAATTAAGGTTTTTTTTTTAAAAAAAATTAAAATATGCTCAAAATTTTGCTCCTTATTTCTCCCAAAATGTCGAAGAACAAAATCGATGGAAAGGCTAATTTAAGCGTTCTAGAATATTTTAAATTTATTGTTACTTTTTTAAGATTATTGGTATATGTCGTGCATAACACGTCGGAAATTTTTTTCCACTTTGCGAACCACACGCAGATGCGTATCCCTTATTTATAACTTTTTTTCAATTTTGATTAAAAGTAAATGCAATGATTGAATGTAACAATATATATTCATGACTATNATATATATATATATACACATATATATATTTTCTTACAAACAAAGATCACAATATGTTGGGATATTAATTAATGAACCCTACAAAATTGCTAAATTGTATGTAAAAATAAAAGAATGCATAAAATATTACTCGTATCTCAAATTTCAACTGAAAGTCATCAAATTTACCTACTGACACATAATAGTTGTATAAAATGACGCAAGGGTAATTTTTTTTAAAATTTAGCAGTGATAAAACAAGTCATTGGTGCTATAATTTTTTTATTTATTCGAAAAACTAATTTTAGATGCTCCTAAAACACAGCAAAAAGTTTAGCAATCTTATATCAACAATACAATATTTAACGAGTTTTTAAATCATTATAGGTAATTTCTCCAAGCTTTAACATTGAGAGAGAAATTTAAAACATATTGAGACGCAAGGAGTAAAGTGAAAGATAAAGTAGAAATTGAAAATTCAAGGGGATACAAATAAGACCAAAATTATCTATATAATTGGGAAATATGTGAAATATGCAATACTTATTGAACTTTAATTACCAAATACAAAACACATTTTTCTTTTTAAAATTTTTCACAAAAATAATTTTTAAAGGATTTTTAACATTTCGTTTCTCTTTGAATAACAAAGCATAAGCAAATTATTTGGAAATAAATGATAGTATTTGATTCATACCACGTCGACGACCTCGTCCTGTTTTGGGAGAGATGAAAAAGAAGACATTCAAATTATTTAAATAACTCATGAAAAAATAACAGATTTCTTAATAATTTAGTTAAACTTAGAAAAATGAACCCAGTAACATGTAACTTAGAAAAGTTACTTCATTCTGAAAATGTACGCAACCAAGCATGCACTTGAACATGAATAGGTTGGATTAGCAGATAATCCATTGAATAAAAAAAAATTGAATTAGAATACAATCCGATTTAAAGCAGACATTTAAACGGAACTGTCTTAAAAGGGCATCATAATATGCCATTTACAATTAAAATGTAAATGGTGTTTAAAGCTCATTTAAATTATAATGTTCTCTTCTGTCATTTAAAATGAATTACATGGATAATGTTTCATATATTATCTACATTTTTTCAAATGTCATATTCTGGTGCCGATAATCTTTACAATAATAATAATCGCACAACGTAACATTGCATCATAAGTAAACAAATTAAACATATCGTCAGTTTAACCAAGAGACGTTTCCTGATTCTTTTCTACTCAATGTAACATAAATGATTCAGTTAGTCCATCAAAAATTTTGAGTTTGTCTCACTACTTTATGCAGGAATTTATTTGATTCCTGAATTATGCTAAATTATAAGGTTGCAAAGTTCGTCATTGACAGCTGTAAATACGCTATTAATTTTCTGATCAATAAAAATTATAAAATAGATATTATCATAGTCCTTTTAAATTATTAAAGGAAATAATATAAACAAGAAAATTAAAATGAAAGTTTCTTTTTATAATCGTAATGAACTCAATAGTTTTCTGATAAGGATTTTTCTTAATATTCTGCTTGAAATCCGTGAGTAAAAGATAATATTAAGTATTTTCTAACCTTTTTCTTAAATTTTTCTGTAGAAAATAGAAAACGGCGAAGAGGTTATGGAGAGCTGTAGTTACGGTCGGCAATATACAGTGCACTCGTATGAAACAATTATACAAATTAATTTAAATTTTTAATAGCAAATTAATCATAACAAACCAAGTTGCAAAAAGGTAGGTAAAATGAAGTTTTTAAGGATTTATGCATACTATAAAAATTTATTTTCTCACATTTTTCAAAATGAATGCAGATAACTTGTTTTGTTTCAAAAAGATGGGTAAAATAGAGTTTTTAAGGGTATATGCATACTATGAAAAAAAAATTTCTAACTTTTTCAAAATGTATGCATGCAGATAACTTATTTTTATATGCAAATTGTTTAGCATCATTCTCGTTTTGAATAGTTCAGTATTATACTTTTGAACCAAATGAGATGTTAAACATATCTCATTATTAAAGTATTACACATATTCAAGTGTCAATGTTTTCCAGAAGGTTAATAGCTTGTCTAAAAATAAATATTTGAATAAAAATATCTGTTAGAATTTTTTTTAAATAAAGTATCTTGAAACAAATAAAGAAAAATGAGAAAAAAGTTCAGTTGAAATTTCTAAATTTAACGTTTTGGAAAAGGTTATTCGCCAAATCAAAAGTTATTTACAAAACCAATATATATTTAACTTAATATAAGTAAATTTTTTTCAGCGATGTAACTATTTTAATTTAAATCACATAGTATAAAAAAGGAGTTTTAAAGTATTTACTTACAATTCAAAATATAAGTTGTGATTAAATTTTCAAACATTTTCTTTTCTTTGTATTAATAATTAACTATTTAATTATAAGTAAATGTATTGAACTATGCTTAAATAATATGCTTACCTGGCTTTCCTCTGCCTTTGTCTTGTTTATGAAAAAATTAAGAATATATATTAGTTAAGAGACAATATATATNATGATCGCTTTGGTTTAGCGACCCAACTTACTCCGTATTATTACTCGTTTTAATCCTATGTACTGCCTGCACATGATGCATTGTATGTCATACTGTACTTTCCTGCGATGTGTTGTAAAATTTTTCATTTGTGTCTTTGGCTCACTATAAGGGAAGCCCCGTCGGCTTTGGCACTATAAGGCGGGACTCTCGGAGCATTTTAATTATTTTACTGCTGTTGCCATCAGACTCTGTAATGTTACTTTTTTTATTTTATGTACTTTTCTGTTTTTCTGGATTTTAATAAACATTTACCCGTATGCCCTAAATTGGGGCAGGTCGGGGTAAATATTTCATAAAACTTCACAAAACTAACTGAAAAATAATCTTGACAAAAAGTCTTCTCAGATTATTTATATTATTTATTGAAAATATTAAAGGATCACATATTAGTTTTAAAATTTGAATACACAACTAAATTTAGTATAACTCTTTTTGCTTTTACAAGCGTCAAAACTCAATTTTTTTTATAAATAATAATAATGGTAAAATGAAGAACAATGTGAAATCACTACTCTTAGTTTATAATTTACATATGATACCAAAAATAATACGCATTATTTGATGTTTATATTGATGATGATATTACAATAATAATACAAAATATTGCATAGATTGTCAAATCACTACTGTTGAGAGCATGATTTAATTCCTGAAAATATTTACTTTTACGAAAATTGATGATTTGTCGTATAACCTAATCTTATCATGATCTTCCTTCACTTTCTTTATTTTAATTACGAAATTTTGAATGCGTAATTTATTTAATCACTCGGTTATTTGTTTAAAACTCCTCAAATGTATATTGATTTGCTTTATTTACTACGAAGGTATTTATGAAGATAATTACTTTGCAATTTTGCTTCTATCATTTAGTTTGGTTTAAATGAAAATGCATTTCCTTACTTAAAAAAACACTGCATAAAATTTTTTTTTACACATGAAAGAAACAAAACAATTTCCTTACAATATTTGAAAGAGTAAATTATGAGATTTTCTTTAAAACCAAATATAATGCTCATATTATTAATATTTGATTATACACTTATTGTTAATTTGATTAAAAAAATCGAATTAACAAAAATTGTTTCATAAAAAATTAAGAATTAAATTGCTGACAGATATTTCATTTTCAAAGAAAAAATTTTACTCACCATCACCACCCGCAGCTAATTATGTTAACACAAAGTGTTTATTTTTCATGTATTTATATATTCTTTCACAACATTTCAAGATAGTAGAGAAACACTAATTTATGTTGCAAAAAAAGTACAAATATTTAGTTTATTAAGCAATACACATAAATTTCACCTCTAAATAAAATACTTCATTAAAAAGCAAATAAAAATTTATTTTATATTTGTTAAAAATTTTAGTTGTAAAAATAAACTATGCAAGGAAATAAAACCACATCCTTCATTATTTAAATCAATATCCGCAAATCTATTCATTATTTAAATCAATATTCACCTGTAAGTTTAATGTTCAATTTTCTATTTCAAACTAAATAAATTTAAAAATTAAAGTTGAAATAGTTTCAAAAGTTTCAATAATTTTAATTTAAGGAGAAAATTGTTATATGCTCCGCAAAATCAAAGTATTTTTTTTAAATTTTGGACATATTTATAAAGTAAGAAAATATTTTTAAAATTGGAAGTTATATTTTCGAGAGCGTTTTTTAATCAAATTAATTGAAACTGGCAATCATTCTGCGAAACATTACATAAACTTAATTTAATTTTCCTACTAAACAATTAGTTATTTTTAAAATAAAGGAGAATATAATAAATAAAATAAATTTTTAATGAGAACTTGTAAAATGTTGGAAACCATGTTCGAAAGTTTCTAAACAATCGCATTGGACAAGTTTTCGCAATTAATATGTTCTTAATTCAATAAAATATCATTTAATTAGAAATTTCAAGTTAATAAGGAGATGAGTCTATAATTCCCGAAGCCATTATGGCCCATATCACAGTCCGTTTACTGGCTCTACGAATGGCAAGCATATTCAGATGGATGCAAATTTTACCTATTGTTTGGCTAGGCTGGTTAGGAACAGAACGGCTCGCTACCTTCACTACTCTTATTCAAGCTTATTTTAGTAGCGTGTCTCATCGCTCACTTTTTCCCCTATATTCGTAAATTCTCCAGATATTGTCGACCTGTTAAATCCTTTTTTCATGGCAATTTTGTAAATTAAATAGCCTAAGCGTCGTGCATTTGTTATTCATCTACCTCCAAAGCGTATAAATTAAAAGATATACCAAATTGCCAAATGAAATAAGTAGCTGCTATTAATGTGCCTAAATAAAGAACAGCTCTACATTTACATCAATTCCTAATTCCGTCTGACGATTCGCATATTCAATTTCCAAGATCATTAAAACACTCGAGGTTTCCAGCTAGTCCGTGTCTCAAAGTATACAGAGAATTTTAAAATAAACGGGATAAAACTAGATATCTGAGGACAGAAAAGGATAAATGACCATAAAAGAGTATTTTATCCTTAGAGGATGTACGTACAATTGTATACAGTGAGGCGTATAGTAAATTAAGATGGGAACAAAGCATTAGGTGTAATTCGCATCCTGCTGAACAGGGGTATGCATCATAAATTAATGCAGTAAATTGACTATAACACACATTTTAACATATGGGATGCGGTAGCCATAGATCCAACTCGTTACTAATACGCTCTCCCTTATTTAATGGCACTATGATTCTAAGTCCTTTCAGTATATATAAATAAACAGTTTCAGCAAAATTCTGGCAATAAAATATTTACTACATTATGTTCCACGATTAAACTAAGGAATTTAAGTGAAGCACAAAAACAAAATAGTGCTATTATTATTGGTAAAAATTTATAATTCTCTCTCATTAAATTTAATCGTGATTGATTATTTATTCAGTGAAAATAACTTGTGTTTGTCTGTTTTTGTACATTTTAATATGGAAATAATTAAGCAAAAGATATTTCTTTAAATATGTAACATAGATTCATTATTGAGGATTGATGTTTACCCCCTTTCCAATGTTGTCGTTGTTGTTGTTGCTAGAGCATTAAAAAATAAAAAATCCTTAGTTTCAATTCTTTAAAGTACGACCTCGAAAATCCGGACTTCTGAACTCCGGAAGTCTCTAAAATCCGGACTCATACGTCCAGTTCCTCAGAGAAAATTTTCAAAAGAAAAAATTTTAAAAAAATCGCTTAGAATGAAAATTTCAATGCAAAACCACAAATCTTCTCCAACAATGAAGCAGTAAATGAGGAGGTAGAGGTGGGGAATGAATGAAAGCTCATAGCTGGTAAGGAAATTCCAGTCATTCTTATCTGCTCTGTATGGATAACAAAGAATATAAAGAGGAATCCCCCTCCTCCTGAAGAGGAATCACCTCAGAAGGAGGAATTCTTCCATCTCCTTGATTTTCCCCCTTGTGATGAAAGAAAACTGGTTCTTTCTTAACCTTGAAGCTTAGGAGGTGGGGACAAGTTCTTTCATCCCCCAACAAAAAAAGGATTAGTATCAGCTGGTACAGTCTAGTCTAGAAGCATCTGTTTCGGTTATAAGTTGAAATTCAGCTCGCGTTTTAAGCCTATATTTTTAGTTTTAATTGCTAATGTTATGTTATCTAAACGATCGATTGCGGGGAAAAATGACGAAAGTTTGATTTTTANTTTAAAAAAAATCGCTTAAAATAAAAATTTTAATGCAAAACCACAACTCTTCTCCAACAATGAAGAAGTAGATGAAGAGGTAGAGGTGGGGTGTGAATGACAGCTCATAGCTGATAAGGAAATTCCAGTCATTCTTATCAGCTCTGTATGGATAACAAAGAATATAAAGGGGAATCCCCCTCCTCCTGAAGGGGAATCACCTCAGAAGGAGGAATTCTTCCATCTCCTTGATTTTCCCCCTTGTGATGAAAGAAAACTGGTTCTTTCTTAACCTTGAAGCTTAGGAAGCGAGCGGGGACAAGTTCTTTCATCCCCCAACAAAAAAAGGATTAGTATCAGCTGGTACAGTCTAGTCTAGAAGCATCTGTTTCGGTTAAAATTCAGCTAGTTGAAATTCAGCTCGCGTTTTAAGCCTATATTTTTAGTTTTAATTGCTAATGTTATGTTATCTAAACGATCGATTGCGGGGAAAAATGTCGAAAGTTTGATTTTTAATGTATTTTATTTATTATTTAAAGAGTATATTTATGTTAAAATTGACGTCGGAGGTCTACACACGCGTGATTAATCGCGAAATCGGCCTGGCGAATTCGAAACTTCGATAATTCTATCAATTCAAGTAAGGTATCTAAAATCCGGAAATTTCGGAAATCCGGACCTTCCAAACCCCCCATCAGTCAGGATTTTCGAGGTTGCACGTATTATGAAATTAATTTATTTTTTAATCTGATAAAAAAACGTAAGTCACATTGTAAATTATTTTAACTTGTTTTTGAAATCAGTGATTATTTCTGCTTGTTCTGCCAGTTTTGAAATACCCATTAAAAAAAAGATTTTCAATATTTTATGCTTGTATATTTCCAATAGTTTAAATCATCCCTAAGCATATGAGTACTTACGCAAGAAAAATAGAATATATAAACAATACCACTTTTAGCTAGCATATAGTAGGATAATCATCTATACTCTGAAAAGAAAGCATAATTTAATATGATACATTGTCTAATTTAAAATATTTATTTTATAATTGTAAGGAAAAAGTAAGGCGAATAAAAATTTTCAAATTGTGCGAAAGAAACAAATAGTTTTAAAGATGCATTTATTTTTATAGTAATTTTTTATTTATTTGCTCACTGACAAGTAATTCTTACAAATATATTTATCATAATACACTACAACTCAAATAACGGCAACACAAATGTATAACACACCACTTATTAAGTGGCTGGTCTAATACATAAATGTCACAGATAATAGCGGAACCATATGATTTTTGGATAGTAACGACTTTCAAACAATGATTATTAAAATTTCATGACTTTCTGATTATTATTTCAGAAGTTAACAAGTGGTTTTAGTGAACCTAGCGTGCCTTGCTGTCGTGTTAACGTGACTCGCACAGTTGGTCGGCTAGCATACAGATCTGCAGCACGAAGGTGGTTTCGGACAGTTTATGTCGAAACTGTGGTGCCAGTAGCCGAACGAAGGTGTTGTTGAAGAAGAGTGGCATTCATATTTCGGTATTTCCGAGCCGTAAGCGTTAAATAATGGTTTTCATTGAGCGTTGTTGCACGTCTGCTCCCTTGTCCTGTTCTACAGTCTGCACTTCCAGTCTCCAAAAAAGGTTCCAGATACTAGAAATTACACTTTAGGAAACTCCAATGGTTTCTGTTACTTTGGCTTGTGCTTGACCCCCTCTGACCGACAATCAACTCTCCAAGTTTCTGATTCGGTTAAATGACTTTGTTGAGGCACTTATCGAAAGAACGTGCTTAATGAATGTCGATCTGTCTTTTTCACTTTGTCTTACATTAAGTTGAAAGCCAAATCAAATTCGCTCCAGCTAAAGCGTTATCTTCAACGAATAAACTCAAATTTTGCCTACCGCGAAATTTGAAAGCAAGAAAAATTTGCATTCATGATTCTCTTCCATTTCATGCAAGAAATTTATTCTACAGTTATTTTATATATGACTTACAAAAGCCTTTAATTGTTTTGAGCAGTGTATTTGGCGATTTAGAGCTATTTTGTGGGGGAAATGGTTTTTCTCTGCTTTTCATCCTAATCGTAAGTGGATTAAAACCACTATTTCAAATTCTTGGCTATACCATGCAGTTTTGTTTTTTGTACGATACCTCTATCTTTGTTCAAATGATTTTATAATTTCCTAATTACTTTCCCTACTTGCTTTTATTTTTAAGCAATTATATTATGGTTTTTAACAATGCATAAACAAAATTGTACTTCGACTTCATTATCAAATTGATAATCTGCCTGATTATTATATTTCTTTGGATATAGATTATTACATTTTGTACAGATAGTTATTATATTTCTTTAATTGTTTTTTACAAGTTAAGTTGCTAGACATTTTTATATGGGTGGGCCCTTAGAGTTTTGAGCGTTTTCGCATTTAAATATTATTTCAATAGGTAAGATTTTTTCTAAAAATACAGTTTATAGTTTTTCTTTACGCAGAGAAACTAGAGCTCAGAGGGCACAAAGCTTACATGTCTCAGGTTCGAATCCCAGCATGAGCTGGTCATACGAATAATCTTATCAGTTCATAATGCTGATATGGTTATTTCATGGAATGTTTCGTTAAAATATCAGAATTTGGTGAAATATCAGAGTTTGTTAAAATAACAATACTTCAATACTTATCTGTTTAAAAAAACAGACGTCTTTTTTTTAATCAGAGTATTTTTCTGTGAAATAAACGATTTTATACAGGCTCACCAGCTGACAGTTTTCTGCATAAATTTAACAAATTTTTTAAATTGTGTGTAGGTAGTACAATTTAAAATTAAAAAACTTAGAATAGGAAACTCACTCGCAAATCAAATAAAGAGCTGATGAATAGAAATTTCGCGTGTATATATATATACATATATATATATATATATATATATATATAANTTCTTAAAAATTCACAAACAATGTGTGAAATCTTACTATTGTCTTTCATTGCTAGTTATTTGTAAGTATTCTGTAGAGTGCAGGATCCAATACATGAAGGAGACAATATACATAATAATAAGTAAGCATTGAGTTGAATACAAATAACTATCATATACCACATATAAAAAGTTTATATTTGAGTAGAAAAAACCTATCCAATACTTACTACGTATCTTGAAACGATGTACTGAAATTTTAATAGTCAAATTTAAGTTTATTTCAATCTTATTACTTTGCTTAGATACAAACGTTAATCAACACTAATATATGTTTTTAAAAAAAAACTATTTGTATGAGCATTAATTTTATTAAAGGCTCAAGAAATCTAATTAAAGGCCCATTTGTGTGCAATAACTAAGAACATGTTTTGAAAAAAACTATTTGAATGAGTATTAATTTTATTAAAGGCTCAAGAAATCTAATTAAAGGCCCATTTGTGTGCAGTAACTAAGAACATGTTTTAAAAAAATCAATTTGTATGAGTATTAATTTTATTAAAGGCTCAAGAAATCTAATTAAAGGCCCATTTGTGTGTAATAACTAAGATCATTTTTGTTTTCGAAACTATTTATATATTTAACTGTTAAAAAACTATTTAACGTAATAAAGAGAATTCATTATTTTTTATTACCTCTTGTGACTAACTTCGATGCTGAAAAAAATAACAAAAAATTATGCAATTAATTATGATTATGAAATATTCTTGCTGATTAAATATTATGTAATATAAAATTGAGCATGCCTTCAAAATATTCTTGAACTTGATAATTTATCTGCTATATAGTTTATTTTCCTTTCGAAATTAGAAGATAAAGAATGTGTGGAATAAAAAATATACTAGAGTTGTATAGTAATTGTTATAAAAAGCTGATTTATTTGACTACATTTTTTTTATTTATTTTATTTATTTTCACGCAATCCTAATGATGGTAAAGTTTAAACAAAATGCCGTATGTTGAATGACATATGTTGTCAATTTTTGGAAAATCAACATAAAGAATATTAATCAAATTTTTTTTTAAATTTTTTTTGAGAGTTAAATAATTTAATTTTTTTAAATTTTCTCTTTTTAGCTCAGTTTTTATCATTTACTAAAACGTTAAAAAATGTTCCATTATTTTTCGTTTTCGAATTTACATTTGCATTTGAACCACTATATATTTAAGTGAACATTATTTTGCTTGTATGTTTGACATTTTTTCATTGAATGTTTTTCATCTTTTAAGCATGATATTGAATCATTTCACGAATTAAATTTCTTTTAAAAATATATATAGCAGAAATACTATTCGTTCTTTATTTCTAAGACAATAAAGTAAAAGCATATAAATTTTTTTTAATATCAACTTTTTAAGTAGCACTAATGCATACAGTAAGTTTCAATAAGGAATTAAAATAAATAAAGTTTATATATTTATATTTTTATCATGAAACTACTCATACTTACTGACTTTGTGAACTAAAATTAAAAGAGTCATTAAAATTTCCAAATGTAGCAAGTATATTAATTATTCATTTTATTTTTATTTTTATTACTTATTAAATTTATGTTTTGTGTATTTATGTTACGCTTCAATTATTATAAATTGTCTTATTAAATTTGTCTGAATGGTTTTGATCATTCTATTTTGTTTTCAATTATTTTTTTTTCATTTTATTATTATTGTATACAACTGGGCATTAGAAAATTTATAAAAAAAAAAACAATAAGAGGGCACAAAATATATTCATTTGAAGTTTTAGATACACTGTAAGAATGTCTGGACTGTATTAAGGCATATCAACCCTCAAATGTAGTGCATTTTCAATGTGTTCTCAAGTTGAACTCAAATTATCATACTTCAAACTAATTCGTTTCAGATTACGTCTTTTGCTATTTAAATACTTATATATTTCTAAGTTTAATTGTATGATTGCAGATTCTCCTTTTTCAATTCCTACTATTAGTTCATACTCTCCCTGTATCTTGGTCAAATTCTCAATCGTTGATAAAATACTTTTTATTAATCCACTCAAGATCAAATACATTTTTTTCGAACTTGTAGCGGCTGGCACTTGATGATAATACAGTTTTTTCAAGCATTAATTCACAATTAAATCGGGAGGAGTGCGAAACGAAATGGAATTTTCTGATTGGTTAAGCGTTAGTCATTGTTTTAAATTCAGTTTATTACATATTTTAAAGATAACATCAGAGATAATTTCTAACTTATAGATTTTTTTTGAACAACAAAAATAGTTTATTGCGCACATTCAAATATTTAATTATTTTACATTCGCTGCGTCAGATAAATTCAATAAAGAACATTACGTGGCAGCAAGCAAAGTCCACTTCACCAAATTTATATTTTTATAGTTACCTGATACAACGACACTTTTTTTTTGAATTTCTATTATTAGTTCACACTCTCCTTATGTATATAATATATATATATATATATATATTCAGTGGCGTACGCAGAATTTTTTCAGGGGGGGNTGCAATTAAAAATTACTTCAAAAATATAAACTATAACTTTGACTACACAAATAAATCGGTTGTAAAACTATTATATTGCAATATTGTTGTCTGATATATATATATATATATATATATCCGCTCTTGTTCAAATACATTTCTTTGAACTTGTAGATGATGACACTTGATGTTAATACAGTTTTTTCAAAATATTAATTCATTAATTAAATGTAATTAGTTAGTGGGAGAATTTTCTTTAATTATTAAATAAAAAGTAACTAAAATAAAAAATTTCTTTGCTGACCTAAGAAAGAATTGATTTTAAATATTTTTTTTTACATTACTTGTCTTAATTAGGTAGTCTAACGATGTGACTTGTCATTTATGCGAATGTCGTTAACTTTATTTACATTTTTATTTAATTTATGCGAATTTTATTTTTATTTGGAAATTATATTTGAAACAAGTAATTCAAAGAATTTCGTATATGCGGAATTATAAATTTCAGTGTTTTGATTCACAACAGTTATAAGTCCTAAGCATGAGTTCTAACATAAAGTCATAAATTGAGAAAAATGCAACGAAAAATGACGGAAAAGAAAGAAAAAAGTTCAGCTGACTGAATTATGCAAATAAAACGCATTTCTTTCCGGTGTTAGCAACGAAGCATTCCTGAAATTAAAATATAGCTCTAATTTTTTAATAGAACCTGCATAAATAAATTAATATAAATAAGACAAACATATTGAACTCTTTCTTTGCTGTTAAGAACTGCTCACTTTTAAACGTTCATGTTTTCTAACTTACGGCTCAGTTTATTTCAGCTTTGCATTTTCAAGAGGAGGAAATAATTTTCTTTGAGAAACATGCACAGTGTACCAAAAAAGGCAAAAAGGAAAGGACCCTCCTGACTGACTTTTGCTTTAATGACTGGATCTTCATGTTCTGGGACTCATTTTTAATGGTTGGAGGTGGTGAAATCAAATTTGCTAATTAATAAGTGCAGACATCTTATCTTAAGTTACGAAATCCGACACAAAAACGTACTTCCTCTGAATAAAGACACCTCTTTTTTCGACCGGTTCGTATTTCTGACCTCCGAAATAAAGGTAGTAGCCACAATCTGGGAAATGTAAATTTTATTTTTTACATATTTTGCTACACCTTGAGAACTTTTTAAGTGCATTAAATAATTTTTTACACTCATTTATAAAATTCGTGTATCTAAAGATAATTCAGTGCAAAAAATATATATTAATAAATATTTATTATTTTAATTACGAATAGTCGAGAAATTTTTTAATGGTAAAGTTTGCAATGATTTGTATCATTTTAAAGATCGCAGTTTCATACAGTGAAATGCAAAATTTGAGCGAAATCGGTAGATTAGTTTCCAAGAAATCGAATTTTAAAAGTATGACTTTTTCGAAATTCGATTTCTCAGGTTTCAACTGATTTTGCTTAAATTTGTATTTTGCTACGTAAATTTATATTTTTTAAGATGATGAGAAAAATTTTATACTTTACAATTGAAAAATTTTTCGATGGCTTTAAAAAAAAAATTATAAATATTCACAAAAATTTTTTATTAGGTGGAATTATCTTTGAACAGAAGAGTTTTATAATTTTATGCAAAAAAATTTCCATCAGCTTAAGAACGTTTTGATATAAAGTGAAATACGCAAAAGGTTAAATTAACAATAAGGGTCTAAACTTTGGAAAGCTCTCCTGATTACGACTTTAAACGACTTAAAACTCCTCGTGCACCACAAAGTAAAGCATGTGGCTTACAGTTGAAAGTAAAAAACAAAAGAAGAAAAATTTACAAATTTACATTAAAAACAAAATTCCGCAATTGATTAAACTATTGGGATCATATTTATAGATTGCGGCTAAGCCCCTATATTCTTGTGTCAGGAATCCGTATCCATTAACAAAGGTATCTTTATGTTATGTATGTTGTGCAACTTAAAATATTGCCTGCACTAATTAATTAGGATATTTACGGCCATGTCTTGAGCCATTAAGATTAAGTCCTAGAACGTGAAGATCAGATCATTATATCAAAAGTAAAGGGTGGACCATTTTTTCCGCATGGTACATTTAGCGTTTATACTTATGACCATTAACTCTTTTGATATTTTTGTTTTCAAATTCTTCGTTGCCAATGGGAAGAAGCGAATTCTTGGAAGAAGCGGAATTTGTCAGTTTTTTTAGCAATTTAAATTGATTTTAAATTGAAACACTTTTAAATTGAAATGCATAATGCATAAACGATATTGAAACTTTGATTTATAAGCATTTTTTTCAAATTATACACTTAACAGTTGCATGTATGTAAAATTATAAATTCTAGAGTTTGCAGACGCAATATACACTTTATTATTACACTCATGTCCATAAATTAAGGATGATTCAGAATCACACGGAAATCAAACTCTAAAATTAAAATTTCACCTGTAGAAATACCACACACATCCTGAAGAAGAATATGCAAATTACAGGAAGCCACTAGATGACGCTGGTAGTACGTCACAATGACGAGAGTGTAAGAGAGGGGTATATAAGGAATGGTGGCAAGGAAGTAAAATTGTTCACAAGTGCTTTAAATGCCTTTCAGTGCAATAACCGCATAGTTATGGCATAAAGGAAGCATTTGGATGATTTTTTAAGTAACAGAATCATCGGACCACTGGAATGTGGACGTACCCAGCTGGAAGTATCCGAGGAACTTGGAATCACCCAGAGTGTCATCTCCAGGCTTTGGCAACGATTCCAAGATGATGGTAATGTGAGTAGACGCTACAGCACAGGTCGCCCCCGAGTTACAACACCGAATGAAGACCAGTATTTGGCAGTTACTGCCAAAAGAAACAGACAGAGCACAGCATCAGACCAGTCTCGTCAGCTCTCTTCAGCTACCGGTACGACAGTTTCAAGGCAGACCGTGTACAGACGCTTAGGGCACATTGGGCTATATGCTCGTAAGCCTGTCAGATGTGTTCCACTTACCGCAACTCACTGTCGCCTGCGTTTAGCCTGGAGTGGAGAGCATGCATTGTGGACACCGCAACAGTGGTCTTGTGTGATGTTTTCCGACGAGTCCAGGTTTGGTTTGCAGTCTGATTCTCGCCGGACTTTCATAAGGAGAGCGCCAGGTACCCGTTACCACTAAAACAACACCACTGACCGACACCGTTACGGTGGTTCAGGATGACTCGTTTGGGGAGGAATTATTCTTGGTGCTAGAACTGACCTGCATGTTCAGAGTATAACGATGACAGACCACATCTATAGGGATGTCATTCTGGAACAACATGTACGTTTGTTTCGGGGCGCCATGGGTGCTGAATTCCTGTTTATGGACGACAACGCCCGTCCTCACAGTGCAAACATTGTAGACGAAACAATCGGAGGATATCACCCGTATGGATTGGCCAGCATACTCACCGGACTTGAATCCAATAGAGCATGTGTGGAATATGCTTGGCCGACGAATTGCAACCCGTCACCCCCCTCCCACCTGTCTACCGGACTTTCGGAGGGCTATGCTTGATGAGTGGTGTAATATTCCCCCAAGATCAGATTGATAATTTGATACTCAGCATGCCTAGGCGTTGTACGGCCTGTGTTGCATCGTCGGGGAGACATACTCCGTATTAACCGTCATACTAACCATGTTATACTGTTTTTTGTAAATAGGTTCTTTTTTGAAATTTTCTCCAGGGAGTAAAAATCGCAATTTTTATTAATTATGTCAAACATATAGCATCTTTTTTGCTCTTTACCTTTTGTTTAATACATAGACTTAACAAATAAGTCAAATTTGTTTGGCTTCTGTCTCTTTCTGTGCCTGAACTTCATTATCCTTAATTTATGGACATGAGTGTATTTAAACTGACACATTCTTTACTCTAACATACACTCGAGGAATGCATAAAGCCAAACGAAAAGGTAAGTAAAATGTGGAATAATCTGTAAAAATGTGGTATAAAAATTTGGAGTGAAAAGTGCGGAATGAAATTAATAAAAATGTGGAATATTCTGTTTGTGAACATAAACTATTCCATTATAAACTTATACCCAATTTTTCGTGCAGTTTGTTTCAGGTTTCAGGTCAATGCAAACAACATTAAATTTGATGTATAGATGTAAGTTTTTATATCATCAGGAAAAATACGTTCTTTTTTTTTTGTTAATATGAACAGTTTTAAATTATTATTTAAACTTCGTAAATTGTGATTAGCATAATTAAAGCAAAAGTGGCGCTCTGTCTTTTTACTTAAAGTGAGATAATTCTTGATTGAAATCACAGGCCTGACTTTATTTAAGAATGATTGCAATGTAATGACTGATTCCTAAATTGTTTGATGAGTTTATTTCAGCTGTGGTATTTTCATTTTTTTTTAGGATTTTTTAAAAACAGAGAGTGGATAAAAATGACTTTTTTAAATATTCTTGAGACGGAGAGAAACTAAACCATTGATTTATGAATAAGTGAAATATTTTTGATTTTGTCTAATTTTAAGACTGAATTCAAAGTGATGAAACTCAAGTAAATACGGCTAATAGTTTAGAAGTTATTAAAGTTTTACATAATTACAGTACAATTTCATTTCTACACTTATTTTTTAGTCTGACATAGCTATATAAGCAAATAAGGCTATTGTTTTCTATGCAGTTTTGTTACGCTGAAACTAATGAGATACTTTTGAATTCGATGGGACTAATAGGTGAAACGTAAAAAAAGTTTTTATGTATGAAAAGTACATTTTTGGTTCATATTTCTTTTTATATGTTTAATATCTCTGAACAGAACAAGTTAGACATTGTTTTTTATATATTTTTATGATAAATCCAATTAAATAAAAAATAAATAAATCAATGGATTCATAGATTCGAAACTGTAAGGATTTTTTGCGTACATGGATATAAATCAAAGACTGTAATTTTTATACATGCTCATTTTTTTATATCCTTTATTCGTTCGACTTCATTTAGATTTTATTTATTTTAGAAAAATTATATTAGAAACAATTTTTCACATCATTAGATGGTATTCATAAACACATACAATTTTCAAGTCAGTGCAAATAATAGAAAGTTGTACATGTTGTATTGTAAACATTAATAACTTCTTAACTTTTAGCCCTAACTTATAGAATTTTTTTTTAAATTGTAAATTAAAAGTTCAGAAACAATACCTCATTTATTTAAGTATGGATAGTTTTTCCTACACGAGCGACATTTGGAACGAAATGCATCAAAGCAAACAAATATGCTTATGTTATTGCTTAAAAATGTGTTTATATTTGTTAAAAAAAAAAAGACTAACCTAAATACTTCAAGTTATAACCAGTAGAAACTAATTATGACGTTAAAGGCTTATACTTTTTCTTTTAAATTATTGGGGGCAACTAAAATAAAAATTTACAGTTTTAAAAAAATGCTACTGTGAGTATTTTTTTTGCTTTTTTTTAATTAACATTAAAAAATTTCTCAAAATCAGATATTGGTTTTTTAACACTTTTTTCGATGCAGACTCGTACATGGTTTCCATTTTTATGCTTATGACTACTCTCTCATTAGATATTGGTTTCTAAGCACTTCCTTGGATGCAGATGCTTATATGGTTTCCTGTTTCATGCTTATGACTACTCACTCATTAGATATTTCAGTGCGACGTAAATGAACTACAACTGCAACAACAACAGTTCATACTGCTTTTGAAATTATGTTCAAAAAATTATTCTTGCTTAATTTGTTAATTCAGTTCGATTCATATTTTTTTTTATATCACACAAGATTTGTAAATAAGCACGTTCAACGCACACGCATATAACTGCTCAGTTACTTGATATTTCAGTTCTTTATTGGCCACACGAATAAGTAATTTTATCAGTTTTTAAACTATCTACATACGTGTTAGTGTTTTATATTATATAATGTAATATTATCATTACGTAAGCCTAAATGCTTCTTCATTAGAGAAAAATAACGTGCTTTAGTTTATAACAGTACGCACATAATAATGCTAACAAAAATTCATTACTTTTTACTATAATTAGTTACTCAAACTAAATAACTCTTTACCTCCAGCTAAAAAAATAAAAGAATAAAAATTATTTTAAAATTAGTTTAAAATAGTTTTGAAAAAAAAAAAAAAGTTTCTCGGGTGAAATGTACTCACGATTTGGTGCAGCAAAAGCTGAAAAAAAAGAAACAAATTAGCTAACAATAATTTCCACAGTGTATGCATATAGTATAATTCTTTCTTTCTAGTATTTAAGTATTTGATATGTTTTATGATGCTGTATTTAATAGAAAGAAAAATTGAAATGTTAACCATAAACCTTATTAACCCAGTTTGGTTAACTGGGTTAATAAGGTTTGATTAACCAGTTTGATTAAACTACAACGTATTCGCAGCCCTTAAATTTCTTTTAGTTTCCTCCAACAACCAAACTGGTTTTCATGGCTGTCGTAAACTGGAAAACACGATACGTAAGTTTAGTCGAAAGAGAAGTGGAAATTTTACTCCCTCATTGCTATTTTATTTCTTTTGGTAGCATTTATATGAAACTTATGCGTCCAAAATATTTTTATACGGAAATTTCAAAACAATTATAATTGAATTTAAAATTAACTTAAATTATTTTAATTAAAAAGTAAATAATGTCTTACAATTGTTTGAACTGCTCAATATTATACTCCAAATTTAGAGCTTGAATTTGAAAATTCAACTTAAAACTAATCATACTGAAGATGATGCACCGGTTTTGTTTAAGTTTCGGATTTCAGAAATAATTATTAAAAATGGGATAAAAATGACTTGTGTTTTAAAACTTATATTTTGTTTTCTTTCTTACGCTAAATAAAAAATGTTATAAACACTTACTCAAACCTGATTTTTTTTCGGAAGTGAACAAATTTTATAATTGAGAGCAGAAAATTGGAATTCTAGCAAAATTTGTTAAAACATAAGCAGCTAATATAAAAATGCATAACATTTAATGACTCAATTTAACTAATATTTTTACAATTGCATCCACTATTTATAAATTCAAATTCATCGAAAAGACAAAATAATTTCTGTTCAATTTAACAACTCAAAACTCACATGCGTGAAACAGCGTTTAGTAGATTAATTTTTTTTTCTTGAAATACAATTAATAAAAATGTAAAGAGGGCTAATATTCGATTTTTTAGAATTAGCAACAAAAGTTGAGTAAATGAATACCGAGAAACATTTGTAAAAAACAAATTAATATTTCCTTCAAGTCCTCCTTCAAAATTAAACCTTTTATTTGCATGAAACTTATTAATCATATAACTTTGTAAAAAAAAATTACCAGAAATGACGAACAATACTGCAACAAGCAATAAAACAACACACTTCATGTTTCAGCAATGTATGCGAGTAACTGTTCCAAATCTTATCCTTGAAGTTGTGTAAGTTTTAGTGCAATACCTACACCCTTTTATAGAAAATTCAACACTTCCTGATCACATAAATGATATTTGATCAATAGACAGTTGACATACCAGTTTTTAAATCATTTTTGAATTTTTGTTTGATCACATGAGCTGATTCTAAATAAATAACTAGGCCGTTGAAAAAAATTATATAGCATTAGAGCCAGCAAAACTATTTGTTCTGGTAGTACACAAGATTATAAATTTTGCGTTATTGATGATTAAAAACAATATTAGGAATTTTTAACATGTCTTTTTTATACATTTTTATGACAAAATCGCGCTATATGGCGTGAATGAGACACAGATAACGTGAGACCGACGTGGCTTTTGAAGAATTTTTTTTATTTTATTTTATATAGGCAAGTAAAAAGAAATTTTTACAATCTTTAGCTTCATATAACTATTCTCTCTCAATTAAGTTTTATTAATTTTAATGCTTATAAAATTATTTGATGGTAAGCATTATAGTTTACAATAAAAATTTTAAAATTAACCAAGAAATGTTTTTAAAAAAATTTTCTTAGATTTTTATGGACATCTTATATTTTTATTCTTTTTAAAGGATGTACAATTTGAATACTTACGTAATCTTTAAGGATTCAGGTGAATAAAAGAATAGTATTTATGTAACTCATTTTATCTCCTTTACTTTACTTCACTTTTACTTCTTTTTATTCTCCTAAGTCTTAAAATTATACTCATGACAGTCTGCTGTACACCACTCGATAATTTGAGCAACTCTTTTTTATTTATCATGTGAGGCAACGTCTTTTAGAATGGAAACCAGATGACTTCCAATTTTTTTTAAAACCATTTTTATGTTTTGTTCTGATATGATTTGTTGCAAAAAAAAATCAAGTTTTGGTTTATTTGTTGAAAAAATAAGCAGTTTAGACAGATTAATTTCATTTTCATTTTAAACATCTGCGGTATTTGTACTTTCTCTCCAAAGAAGATTACTAGTTACTTTATTTAAAAAATAATATTTATTTGCTCTAAAATATTCCATTGATTGCTGAAAAAAAAGTTTTTGGCTTAATCGTATTTTTCTTGAAGAAAAATTCAATTTTGAGACAGACTCATGCAATATTTTTTTTTCATTTGTTAAGGGTTTCTAAAGGTCCAATTTAAACCATATTTCTAACATTAGTTTCAGTGAAATTCCTGGTAATGGTAATTAATCGTAATGGTTCCTGGGGGTGACCTAAAATATGCTAATTACTTAAGGCTAAATATTAATTAAGGTGCGAACTCCGGCAAAAAAACATACATTTTCATACCTTTGCGTTAGTTAAATCAATTAATCAGAAACAATATCACTTTTCACCCAATTTATTGAAATGTATAGTTATTAGAAATTATTTTCTGTCATTTCAACGAAAAAACAGCATTTCAACTTCAAAACTTCCCACTGCCGGCAAGTCGACGGCAAGGCATGCACGTGTTGCCTATACCTCGACGGAACATTATTCGTCTAAAAAGATTTTGAAGGCTTCCTATTTTTCATTTATTTATTTTTATTTTATTTTATCGTGCTTCTGTACACAGTTATTTCTTTTATTTATCTTTTTCTTTAAATAACTGACTAAATCAATTTTTAAACTTGCTAAAATTAATCAATATCCTACTAGTTTTGACAAAAAATTTTCGAAATTTTGAGCTTAGTCTATTTTATAAACAACTTGATAATCCAAACCAAATATGCACTGACTGCTACAATAATTTCGCTAACATCAAATGTTAGATTTTTACTTACGATATTGAGTTCAAACTTCGATGTTGTGATTGATTTTGGATTAATGAACAGTAGAGAACCAACAAATCTGTAAGTTCATTCTATTTTTTTCATTACTCACATTTTTTTAAATAAAATTTTGTCATAAAGATTTAAATAATCTGGGTATTGTCCAGAAAGAGATCTTTGCTTTCTTACCTAATTAGTCTCTTTGCTCTTGTATTTAATCACGTAATGACTCACTTTAATTTCTCTTGTAACATAATCGTTAATGTGTAATTATTCTTTTAACATAGTCATTCTTGTGAAAAGCACCGAATGCAATTCAGTGACTCATGACTCATGTTTATTATAGTCTATGTATGAATTTCCCTATGTATATTTGTATGCGAAATTCCATAGGGCTGTGGAGAAATATTGATAAGACCTATAAAAAAGTTGGTCAAAGGCTATTGCACACCATAATTTTAGGACAAAAATTTGCTATATAAAAATATCATTAGATACCGAGTTAAAATTTTACCATATAGTTATCCTATATAAGTATGGCAAAAAGTTGCCATACGCGTATGATAAAAATTTGCCATACGCATATGGAAAATATTTGCCTTACGCTTATGGAAAAAAAAAGGCATGGCAAAATTTTACTATAGACAAAACTCCTCAGCCTGCGCCGTTCGCGAGCTCTCGACAATATGGAAATGCCGGTTTTTCAATTATATCAAATATTTTCATAGGAAAACGATTCACGAATACCCTATAGTATAAAATATCGAAATATGCGAAGAAGATTCTAGTTTTTGAAATTTTTTGACTAGTCCCTTAAATCATTGCTTTCAGCAATCATTTTTTCGAGTGCGTAATCATAACGTATGCTTTTTTTAAAAAGTTTAATAAGGGTCTTAGCTTTACTAATATAGACGTATTAATTAAATCATTGTATAATGCACACAAAATTAGATGACTTCAGCATGATTGCATTAAATTTTATATTTATTCTTTTTTACAGTTTTTAAGTTATTTATTTATTATTAATATCTTAAATTATCATTCATACCTTTGCGCCTTTTTTCCTAATTTCCGAAGTTTATTTAATCTATTTAATTTGTAAACATTTTGATCTGTGCTTCGCAAATTAAACACTATATTAGCCTTGCTTTGTTTTAACGAATTGTACATTTAAATACATTTTATCATATTTAGTTTCGCATTTTTTTTTGGAATCTTTAGGCATTCTTAAGTAAAAACAGTAAAAATATATATTTTTATGGTATGACAACAGACTGTAGTCAGAAATGAATGTGGCTAACCAATTGCTCAAATATGATGTTTGACACAGTTGGAATAAAGTGCGTATTTCGATGGTGCTATTTTTGTAACGAATTTACATTGTTACTAAACTATCTCTTTTACAATAATCTATATTCGCGACAATCCTATCTTCACTGAAATCCTATCCTCACGACACCTTCGCCGAGTACACAGGCAACTATTTCTGTCATACGCAATTTAATTTGAATTTGTGCAATGGTGAGTGGTTTCCTATCCTTAGGATATTTTTGTAAGGCTATCATGCCTGTGTTTTGTACATTACAAAAAAGTCCTCTATCAATATGTCTACCAGACAACTACCAAAGCTCTGTGTTCTTTCTACGGAAAACTGGTCTTAGTTGGAACATTTTTGGGTACCTAGGATACACTAAACGCCTATCGGAATTAAGGATAGATAATGATAGATAAGGATAGATACTCAATCAGAAAAGTCTCATTAATTCTGATTAGCAGAAATCACTTAACAATTTACTTTATAATGAATGAAAACTTATAATGTCAGTGAGTACCATAAAACAGTTTTCTCGTATTTTATCAACTTTAAAATTGGTATGTAGTTATTTTTTTTTTAAATAAACAAAATTTTTTCTTCTTGTATATTCAAGGGGGCAACGTATACAAGTAGACACGCTGAGTTACAGTTAAAATATGTAAGTAGCAGAAAGTCAAAAGGTTTCTCATATAATCCATATCTCCTTCAATTCAAATTTTTACTAGCACCTTTTCTTCTTCAAATACGTTTTTCCTTTTAGCGAGAACACTTTTTATTGCTTTTTTATGGCATTAGAATCCATTTATTTAATGTTTGAATGTCCTCTGAGGGGGAACATAAAAATATCTAAGTGTCAAATTGCTTTAGCTAAAACCAATTGCAAGTCAGATGAATTAAACTTTATAATCTGAAATCGAACATGACAACAAAAATTATAATATTTATGATGATATGTTTGTATTATTGTGTATTTTAATCTATGCTTATTTTCTTTCCCACTGTAATAAAAATTGGAACATACACTACTAATATTTGACGCATATTTTATATTGGTACATCATTCCCATACAATTATTCTCCTTAATGTATAACAATTCAATTCTCCTCAATATAAGTGTTAAGTGTTTCAATCTAAGTATAAATAAAGTGTTTCAGCAATAAATTGATTTTTAATAACATCAAACTAGCAAGCTTGATCATTTAAAAGTTAAATCAGCTACCCGACAAAGATTCGCTACAATGTTCCCCCTAAAAATTTTAAAACATAATAAAAATATTTGATTTTGAAGTATATAGCTATCATTTAGTTGATATTTTAATATCATATATGTTACATTTATTTTATTACTCTGTAAAACTTTCGAATAAAAGTGAACTTTTAAAAACTGAATATTGTTAATATTAATTACTTTTCTTATGATCCATAATGGTAAATATTTTTAATTATTGTTACGAATACCGCCAAAAGACAAACGTGTTTGCATTCATTACTACGCTTAATGTTTTCATATAAATGAAATTTTTTGGTTTCGTTTATGATATTCGTCATAATATTCGTTATGATATTCGTTTATGATTTCGTTTGTGTCATTTGGATCCATAAATTTTTTTAGATTCAAGTTTATAAAGAGAAATCTCAACTTTTTATTACAATATTGAAACCACATTTTTTAAAAATGTTTTTAGGGATTCTACACCAATCCATTATGCATTCTGTTTCCATTTTAGTGACCTAACTTGTTATCCAATATAACCCTTTCACCTACTCTATAGAAGCCTACATATTATCCAATTCTATAGATTCATAATTGGATGAATATCAGTATATTAACTGTGAAGGAGAATACAAGACCACAACTAAAATGATACGTGTAAGGTGCATGAAATAGTTCTCTGAAACATAGACAAATTATAAAAACCTTTGACAAAAATGTGAATAAGTTTTTTTCGAAAGTGATGGAT